ATGCGCTTCTGCAAAGGTCAAACGGAAAGAGAGTCCTTCAGACCTTGTTCAATACCGCGGTGAGAAGGAAGAACAGGCCAAGGTGAGGTCCCATCTGTCGCCATATACCGCGAATAACCCATGTTGCCCGTTCGTTCGGCGGCTCACACCCCCGATCCATGAAAGACAGTGGATCCCATCCGCCGGCCGGCCGGCAACCTCCGTGATTGGGCCGCGATGGAGGTACCTGTTGCCCCGGGCTGCCGTTGCCCGATATTTCCCATCTCAGCCCTGTAGACGAGTTATGTAGGTATGTTTTATGGGACGATTGTTGGGTTTGAGGAGACAAAGTATCATGAATAGATTCTCAATGAGGAGAGTTCTGAGGAGACATGATGTGTCAGGAGAAAAGAGACACGCAAAAAAGAAAGCAAGAGAAAAGAACATGACCGACTTTCTTCGACTCAGCCATCAGCTCTGCAAACTTGCGTCATTGATGCTTCCCAATATGGGGTGAGCGGGCCCCCAGGGGAGGGAGAAGAGTGCAAGGGGCGCACCTCGGGGCACTGCAGGTCGTTCCAGAGCATTGGGAACTCTGGAGAGAGACCTGTGTGTGGGAGGATCTCTTGGTGATGTTGCCTTGCCTTGAAAAGAAGGAGGTTTGTTGTCTAGGGTAAAAGAAAAAAACACGAGACGGGAGGTGTAGATGTGCCCACAAGCGCCCGCCAGATGCGCCCGCCCAGATGGAAGAAAGCACAACATTCCGTCTCATCTCACACCGACTCGGAAGAGCTGGGGAAAGGGGGGGCGATGCAGATACATCTCTCTCTATGCAACGTTTTACTGTAATATGTCACCACCCCCAATCGCCAAATGGGATCGCATCCGGGGGCCTGGAACTTGTGTGTCTTTCGATACGGCAAAAACTACAAACTTGAGAGCGGCGATGATGACACGTTTAGATGGCAAGGCAAGGCAACGTACGGGTCCCCCTTTAACCCGAGGCTTGTTTCTAGAAGGACAAGAAAAAGATCCTAGATTGGAGTCGGTGGAGGAAATCGGATGCTCGGCCACCATTCTCTTTACCTTGAGGACACACACCCTAGCATGTGTGTGTGTCCTTTCTCTCACCGACCCTTGCGGCTATCCGGAGACTGGAAGCCGAAACAATAAGATGCGTGTTTTTTTCGTCTCTCTCGTTCAGAAGGAAAAAAAAAAAAGACGAAACGAGGTGAGGTAATCCTCTTTCGGCATCAAGTCCCCGGGAGGGCGTGGGTGACCGAAGGGGTTGGGTTGGTCGCATAAGGTGAGGTGAGGTGAGGTGAGGTGAGCCGATGAGAAAGAATGGGGGGGGGGTGGGGTTGGGGTCTTTTTTGGCTAGGGATAGAGGCCGCCCGTCTACCCGCGGGCCGAAACAAGCAGAGAGTAGAAAAGAATATGAGGGATTTCGGTCTAAAGCTATAGCGAATATGGGACGAGAAAAGAGAAAGAGTGGTGTCTCGAATTGGATGGCAAGGTGTGTAAAGGGCGGCGTAGGTGTGCGTCGTTGCCCAAGTCAGCCCAAAGCACCAATATCACCGAGAAGAGAAAAAAACGGACATGGGGTCCTTGATCCCCCGGCGAATGGTTGTCCGGTAAATGTACAGTACAGGTTGAAAAATAGGGAGAGTGCAAAAGTGAGCCTGTCCTCATGTAGTTGTCATGTATTCCGGGGGTATCTCTCAGCGGTTGGTGGCGCGGTAGATGGGACTGGTACTGTACGAGCGGCACTACAAGGACCTTACCGCACAGGTAGGTACTTGGGGTCTGAATCGATTGATGGGGATTACGGGATACTGGGAACATGGATCTGCTTGCGCACAGTTGACTCTATGGTCTGGGATGGCCTCGAAGCACGGAGAGACTCGGTCGGGTTCAGGCACGACACGACGGTCAACAGCGCCTTGCCTTGCCCCATTCTCACTCATGCTCTCTCTCTACTACTCTTTGCGTATTATTTCCCTCTCTGCTGAGCTGAGTCCCTTTTTATTTAAAAAGTCCATGGCTCGTCCTTCACATCAAGTCTTGAAATTCCCCATCTCCATCCGCTTCTTAGCATTCCATCCAAAACACACAATTCTTCTTCTACAAGTCATTTTATTGACTTGTCATCCCCCACCGAGACACACACACACACACACACACTACCCATCTGCGGCTTGCCGTCATCGGATAGAGTTCTAACCCTACGCCACACATACGCAAACAAATCCAATCCAACCGGCTGCTCCCATCTTTTTGCTGTACCTATCTATCTAGAGCTTCCCCTCTTCTTTTTACCCCTCCTCTCCTCTTTCTTCTTTCTTCATCATGAGTCTCGTTGAAAGTACGGAACCTAACGAGGTTCCTTCACCCGCCGTGATCGAAACCGACGACGAGGGAAACCTCATCAACAACAAGACAAACGGTCATTCAAACGGCTACTTCTCCAACGGTCACCACCCAACGTCCAACGGCAACAACGGTGCAGCTACCCCTTCCTACATCGACAGCATGGCTCACCTCTCCGTCGTCCGCGCCCGAGACGACTCGGACGCCGCCTCGGTCAAGTCCACGAGCTCCCGAGCCTCCCGGAGACCTCCCCTGCAGCTGGCTAGCTACCAGGACGAGTTCACCACCAGCGTCTATGGATCTCGCTTTGCGGGTATGGACTTGCCCCGGCATCATATGCCAGAGTGTGAGATGCCCCGCGATATCGCCTATCGCATGATCAAGGACGATCTGAGTCTTGACAACAACCCCATGCTCAAGTAAGCACACACACCTGCATGCAATCATCTCTGTCAGAAGCTGAATAACTAACTTGGTAATAAAGCCTCGCTTCTTTCGTCACCACTTACATGGTACGTAGCCCCTCTCTTCATCGGCTTCTCTCTTCCGTGCTAGCACAGCTTCCCGTCTCACGCCAATGCATGTGTTACTACCCTCCCCCCCACTCACCCGCGGGAGCCGGTCCCACGTCTTGGCTTCCTTGGCTTGGCTCGCACGCAAGCCACAACTCCACCATCACCAACGTCACTGCATCTACATCTGGATAGCTCACTAACAGATACCAACAGGAAGATGAAGCTGAGAAGCTCATGTCAGAGTCCTTCTCCAAGAACTTTATCGACTATGAAGAGTACCCTCAGTCTGCCGATATTCAGAACCGATGTGTCAACATGATCGGTGACCTCTTCCACGCTCCCCCAGGTACCTCTGTCGGCACATCCACAGTCGGTTCTTCAGAAGCCATCATGCTTGGTGTCCTGGCTATGAAGAAGCGCTGGAAGAACCGCAGAATCGCCGAGGGCAAGAGCACAGAGCATCCCAACATCGTCATGTCTTCTGCCGTTCAGGTCTGCTGGGAAAAGGCCACCCGGTACTTTGAGATTGATGAGAAGCTCGTCTACTGCACGCCTGAGCGCTTCGTCATGGATCCTGATGAGGCTGTTGACCTGTGTGATGAGAACACTATTGGTATGTGCTGTATCCTCGGTACCACCTACACTGGTGAGTACGAGGATATCAAGGCTATCAACGACCTCCTCGTCGAGCGGAATCTTGACATCCCCATCCATGTCGATGCTGCTAGCGGTGGCTTCGTCGCTCCCTTCGTTGTTCCTGATCTGGAATGGGACTTCCGATGTGAGAAGGTCATCTCCATCAACGTCTCTGGTCACAAGTACGGCCTTGTCTACCCCGGTGTTGGTTGGGTCATCTGGCGATCCCCCGAATACCTCCCCCAAGAGCTCGTCTTCAACATCAATTACCTAGGCGCCGACCAGTCCTCATTCACCCTCAACTTCTCCAAGGGTGCTTCACAAGTCATTGGCCAGTACTACCAGCTCATCCGTCTGGGTAAGCACGGATACCGCGCCATCATGAGCAACCTGACCCGAACGGCCGACTACTTGACTGAAACGCTCGAGAACCTCGGCTTCGTCATCATGTCAGAACGTTCGGGTGCCGGTCTTCCTCTCGTGGCATTCCGCTTCCGAACTCCCGAAGAGGGTGGTGACCCCGATCGTTACTACGACGAGTTTGCTCTCGCCCACCACCTCCGCTCTCGAGGATGGGTTGTTCCCGCCTACACGATGGCTCCCAACTCGGGTGTCAAGATGCTTCGAGTTGTTGTCCGTGGGGATTTCACAAAGACCCGTTGCGACTCTCTTATCGCCGATATCAAGCTCTGCCACGGTCTTCTCAAGGAGACAGACCAAGAGTCTATCCGCAAGAGGGAAGAGTACATCAAGAACCACGTCACCTCCATGGGCCGGGGGAAGCACGGCCACCCTGTTTACACTGTAAGTTCTTTACTTCTCCACTAATGAATGTCGACTAACATATTTAGAACGAGCAACATTCGCTCCAGGGCAAGACTGGTAAGACCCATGCTATTTGCTAGATGAGATGGGGATAGAGAGAACATCATCGATCACTCGGTGGGAGGATCAGGCTTTGGCGTCGTGCGGTGTGATTTTGGTTGCACAGCATTGCTTTTGGTTGGGTTTGCGGATATATACAGCCATGCATGCATGAATTGACATATGGATGACTTTTTTGGTTACTTTTTCTTGCAATATTGGATTTAAACACTTTTGATGTGAATGTATTATGCTTCGCCACTTGATGAAGCTTCATGCTTCACACCAAGTATAGGTCTAGGGTGACGATAACCTTCAGCTGAGCCTTGAATACCTATGATATGAGAAATCATGAATAAGCGAATAGCTCAGCTCTTTTAGGCAATATAAAGATTAAAACTGTTTGAATTTGCTCTTGTTTCTCAGCCACTATGCATACACACAGCCGATTGTTACAATACACAGTCGCAATTCCTTACCAAGTCCTCTAAGCCAGAGAACAACCACTAAATACTAAGAGAGAACAAGAAAACTAACGAAAGCCTGAGAAGTGTTTTTCTATTAGATGACAAAATTTAGAGCGCTTAAAAAAAGAATACCCAAGACAAAAAGAAACATGCTTGGGATCGCAAAAAATGGAGACTGAGGGATTTGAACCCCCGACCTTCTGCAAGCGCCGATGAAGATGCAAAGCAGACGTGATTCCCCTACACCAAATCCCCTGTTATTGGATGATGCCCGAGCCTCCAAACACAGACCAAATGCTCGAGTGCACACTCCCTCGCGACACATCACACGTCCGTGACCAGTATTTGTTACCCTTCAACCGTCATGGTCTTGGATACTGGTACAACAGGTACCGAATTTACTATCCCGAAACTTGATCTTGTTGTTGAATCATGAAAAAGTGCCTGGTGTTATTGCCTTGGTTCGATGACCGCCTCTACATGCAGTCGGACCGAGTTACCAGAAACACTCACAGGGTCAATTGAGCTGAAGCCAACAGCACAATACAAACGTAGACAGAGCATTGTTTCGGAACAACTGAAACTAAAAGTCTTGGTAATTACCTTGGCTCTTTGATGTAATTGTATCAGCTCGATGACATACATCCGAAACAGTGGCTCTGATCCTCATTTACCATCTCATCACTCCAAAGTCTCTCAATTTCCTCACAAATCACTGGCTTAATTCAACGCAACTCTAATGGTTTCAATTATTCACACAGAACATTTCCGTGCGGAAAAGGTAAACTGCCACATCCAGGGTTCCTGCCCCTGAACCTTTTTTTTCTTTGTAGACTGTGCCCTTTAGAGGTTACCGGCAACAAAGTCGGCAGCGGCCTGGGCATCTTGGCCGTACTGCAAGTGAGCAGCAGTAATGACGAAAGAACCAGAGCAGACGCTGTCGCCGGAGCGGCAAAAGACTTTGCAGCGTCCTTCGGGAATGCCCTGGAAACCCTGGGACTTGACTATTCATTGTGTAAGCTTTTATTTCTTCGTCCTGGGTTGAGGGAACACTTACAAGGGTCGCCAAAGGTGACGACGGCAGCAATCTTGCTGGTTGTCGCAGCTGGGAGTGACTTTGCCGCATTGTGAACGAGCATGGCTCCCTGGGAGTAGCCCGAGAGAACGACCTTGGTGTTGGGACACTTCTTGTAAGCCTGCTCAACAATAGCCACCCTATCAACCAAAAGGTTAGTACTCGCTTCACTTCAGAGTGTGTCAAAACTCCCGCCACTTACATCTTCTTGCCGCCATCAGAACCAAGATTCATAATACCCCCAATGTCAGCGGGGTATTCAACACCCTGCACAGCAAGCTTGTCGCTACCAATCTCCTTGGCGAGGGCCTGGAAGAAGGGAGGTCCAGCGACGGTGCCGACGTTGCCACCCTCCGAGGTGCCACGGGCAAAGATGACGGTCACGTCTTTGCAAGCTCCCTCAAGACCGTTCTGTGTAGATCCAGAGAAGCCGCTTTGTCGGGTCGCAAGGGGGCTTGCGGCGGCAAAGGGCGCGAGGGCGAGGAGGATGGTCTTTGTGAAGGAAGGCATTTTTATTGAAAACGAAGTGAAAGTTTTGGGAGTTGGAGTAGAAACGAATGTGATCTGAAAGAAGCGAAAGTAAAAGAACGAAAAAAGGTTGAATTGGCTTGTTGAGACTGTTTACTGACAGCATGACTTCGGTCTTATATACAATTTTCCCATCCTCAACGCTCAAACCTTTTTTTCCCTTTCATCTTGATATCATGACAAGTTCATCCCCCAAAACTCATCTCATCTTGAGCCCGCAAACTCTTCCCAAGAAGGAAATCCTTACGAAAAAAAATTCCCCATCAACAGCCTCAGCCCTGCCACTAATAACCCCAGTATTTAATACAGATCGAATAAACCTCCCTGGTTGCTGGGTCTAAAAGAGGTTCAGTCCCTGTCGTGGCGTGGGGCGATGATCATGGTGAAACGGGGGGGAGGCGTTGCCAAGAGGATCCGATGAAACGGCGGCCCCGGGGGGGCTCGAGCTGAGGTTTGAAACGACGTCCTTCGGTTTTTTCTGCAATGTTTGTGCGTTTCTGTTTCATACAAAATGAAAAAGAGGCATACTACGTAGTAGACTATTCTCTGCCTCAATGTCAGCGGGAGATCCACGCCGAGGTAACATTCTTGGCGGGACGTTGAGATGGGGCTCGGCCTCACCGGACAAAATCATCTCATGATTGGAGCCATGTTGTAAGGAAGAAACAAATAAACAGGGAGATTCAAGGTAACATGCATCTGTATAAAACAGTCTCTGATCGATTTAAGTTAATAACTGCCGGATACATGTGCCTTTTCGGGTTAGCCATTCGAGCACGCACTGTGCACCATACAACCGTACAAGTTCACTCTAAAAAGTTCCGTGAAAAGAAGTATGATCTAGTATTCATGATTCAGAAAGAAAGTAGGACAAGGAGAACATCTAGCAAGCTTTTACTTGACGACTTGAAAGATGCAGAAGTGACACACATCCACCCAGAAACTCATCGCCCCCATTCATACCCAAGCCATTTATCAACAATTTGTTCATGCCAAGTCAAGTGAAATCTCCCTCCTCCACCAAACTCCGTTCTTTCGGAGTTTTGTCCTCTCCTTAAAACCCGGTTTAGGATGTCGGCTTGATGGGATCATCCTCCTTGATTGGAAGAAGCCCAGCAGCGTCACCAGCCTTTTGCTCAGCAAGTCGGACACTGATACCGGCGTGTTGAGCATAAACACGTAGACCGATAACACACACGGGGTTCCATGGTTCCTTCTTGCGCTGCTTTCGAACCGAGCTGTCGTTGCTTCCCGACTCCGAATCATCGTCATCAGACCCCGACTCGCATTCCGACTCTGTGTCTGAATTGTCTGGACTGTCGGGTTCCTCGGAATTAGCTTCGGTGGGCGGCGTTGGAACGACCTTCGACTCCGTGCTTTGGTTCGTTGCGCTTCTCTCCATCGTGGGTGAGCTTGAATCCTGTGAGGGCCTTCGTGACTCTCCGTCCTTCTTCTCCTCGACATTCTCCCATGATTCTTTCTCTGATCCAGTCGGAGTTTCAGACTTGGCCTGATCTTCCACAGAGCCCTTGAACATGTCATCAGGCCAGAGCCCAGGTGTCGGAATTTCTGACGGTGGCGAACTTACCTTTTCTAACCCAGCACTTACCTTCTCCAGGCTCGCATCGTTGTTGCTTTCAGCTCCCTTAGTCTTCTCGCTCATGCAACTGTAGTACTCGGTCTTCTTCAGCACCAATTCCTCCTCGATTTTCTTCCTTGCGTCTTCCTTTTCCTTCTCCTCCTTCTGGGCTAGCTCCCGCTTCCGGCTGCTCTCCAATTTTTCCTTCTTGGCGTTCTCCCGCCTCTTGCGAATGGCCTCATCTTCGTCCACGATTCCTCCCTTAGCATGGGCAAGGTCATGTAGCAGTCCGATTTGTTGAAGCTTCTGGGGTTTCTTGTCCGCAGCTATCTTGACAACCTTCTGAACTGTGGGCCTCCACTCTGCATGCTGAGCAACAATGCTGGGAATGACTTCGTAGGTTCCTGGCTCGAGTTCGACCTCACAGTTGGTTGAGCGCGAACTAGACAAGTAGATTGATCGTGCTTGACAGATCGTCGTAGAATCGGCGACAGATTTGAGAAGAAATTGAAGAACGAACTTATACTGTCCTTGCAGTCCCTCAAAATATCTCTTGTCAAGCTGATTGTGGTTAGTATTCAGTGAGGACTGTAAATGAAAGAGAACCCACCTGAGAGAGTGCAATGACCACAATGCCTTCTTCTTTAACCTCCAGGATGAACTTCTTCTTGAGGTAGCCAGTCAGCCATGGGACATTGACGCTTGTCCACTGTTGAGCAACAGTCCATCGCTTGTCAAAGACGCGGGTTCGATGAATCCACACAAAGTTCTCAAGCATGTCGTTGTAAGACATCCACCAGCAGCCGTCGTCACCAAACCGATATCGCAACTTCTGGATCATGTGTGAAGTCCATTCTTTGGACCCATCTGACCAAGGGCCATGCCAGGCTCCTTGGCCTCTGTAGTTTCTGCTACCCCAAGGGTTCCTATAGACCGTTAGTATCAATATTTAGAGGCAGAATACCCAAGGACAAGGTGTTGATAAGCTGAACAACGTACCGAATCTTGACTAGGCGAACCTTGTCACCTTTCTCGTCCTCAACCTCGGTCGCCTTTAGAACAGAATAGGCATGGCACTGGATGATGCCATTGCTGCAATCTGTCCATGGACGCATCGCGGATAGACTGAAGACGAACTCTGCGTCCTCGGTATCGGACACCAACATCTCACGCCAGAGCCGATCCTTGCGAAGCACGCTGTTTGCCAACATCATGGTGGCGACACCACCAGTAAGGTCTTCAACAGCGTGGCATGAAAGCCCACCCTCCAAGGCCTGGTAGTCGCCGTGAACCTTGGCAAACTAGACCTAATCAGTTGTTGTCGTGTGTTGTTAAAGGGGGTTACTTACCGCTTTCTCAAGCAAGGGGAACCAAGTCTCGTTGGCGTTCTCACACTGGGCAAAGGCCAAAGCGTCAGAGCCCGTCTGTTTCTCCCTCTTGTGGCGGCGTTCGTGCTTGCCGGTTGAATCATAAGTCTCGCGCGTGTGCCCATAATCCTTCTCCTTGAGGTACAGGTTGTCGTCTACAACTGTCGAGATCCACTCCCCATCGCGGAAGAAGACGAACCCATAGACACCGCATTCCTCATTTTGTTCAACGCAAATCTTCTTCATCAGGTCTTGTCGGTGTGCGATCGTGGACAAGGCAGCTACCCACCAGCAGTCGCCCAGGTGACCTTGCTTGATGTCCGAGCCCGAATAGCCACCGATGGTGAACTGAGGACTCTCAAAGATCCAAGGGATACGGTGGACTGAGCCAGGTATGTAGTCGGAACTGGAGGAGGAATTGTCTTTGGATATGCATCTCCAAAGTCTCCAGATATCGACCTTGAGGTCGTTGCCTGACAAGATACCACTGTTCTTGAAGAATTCAAGAGACTTCTCCAGTTTCTCGGTGTTGGTCTCGTCATTGGTATCGTCATCAAGACCTTTATGATTGAGACCGCCATCCCCTTCTAGACTGAGGTCATTGAGGAGGCCAAAGAGGCAGTCGTAGATGGCCCGCCTGAAATCCAACTCGATATCGAACTCGGGATCGCTAAACTTGGTGTTGGTGCGTTCACACTCCTTGACG